AGTAAATCCTAAGAATCCTACGAATCTCCAGAATCCTGTGGATCCTAAGAATCATCAAAATCTGGAATTATGCAGATTATTTAGCACAGTATTGGTCACGCTTATTACATCATCATTCCATTGGTCGCTAATGATCAGCGTATTAAGATCGATTTCAGACGTTGACAATATATATATTAATAATAATAATTTTTCATAAATAAATGATTGGGTTAACACTAATTACAGATTATAGATAAGCTTACTTTCTGATATCCTGCTCCTTACGTCTAAAACCTTGCCATCATTGCTCTATACCTTCGATCTTGGTTGTCTCTCACATTTTTTGGTTTATGTAATTTGATTGCAAACACATAGTGAACATAAACCACCTGCAGCCATAATTGGCACTTGGCTATCAAGTTGCGGAATGATTAATAATTGCCTAGTTCAACCACTATCCTTGCATGTGAGTTACTTTAGATAGATAATGTCATTAAGGAAATTATATTCTAAAATAAATATGCTAATTCATTAAATTCAAAATACATTTGAGTCGCTTGGAGGAGGATCCAGATAGGAAACAGCAGGTCTTGGAACATAAGAAATATTTGGAGCTATTGTGAGGTCAAGGAAAATTTTCCTTCTTCTTTCCAGTAGGCTTACAACAGGACTAGGATAAACTAAAAAGTGATATAAAAGGATGTGAATATTAAAGTGATTACTACCAAAGAATAAATTAGTTGAATAAATAGTTCCTTACGTGTATTAACTGAAATTATTATTGGGCAGTTAAGTGTTGGAACACCACCACCATTGTGAATATTAAAACAAATAACTAAAAATGACGTGACTCTTGAATGTTCTGTATTAGACATGTTGACGATAAACACATTACCATTATCATCGTGTTGATACTTATATTCGCGAGGGTCTTTACATTCAAGAAACTTATTGTATTTCTTTATTGATACATTTGAACCGATTTTCAAAGGCAAGCTACATTTATTACAAGTCAATATTGGATGAATCTTAAAATCAGCTATGTAATAAATACCTACCTTTTTTCATTTATATAGCGTGGAATATGAATTCAACTTAGTTTTAATCTTTTCAGAAAGCATTCTGACCAATTTACGTGAGACATTTGAAAAAAAGAAGAGAAAAAAATATTATATTTATTGATTAATGAATAGCTTATTTTAACTGATTAATTAATCAAATTAATGATCACATGATGGTCTTTTTATCACATATCAGGTGATAAGCGTGAAAGAATCTTCACGGTAAACAGACTAGCCTACTGTACATGAAGAAGTTTTTATGCTTATGCTAATGGGGCATAATCGACAAGAATATACATTTTTAATTTCTTTTTGCATCGCTTAGAAGGGACGCTTCAGAACTTCTAAGAATCAGGACTTGTGATATATAATATCTGCAATATATTTTATTTATCTTCTAATTAAACGTAGATTTATATATATTATAAAATTATTAAGAAATCAAAACTTTTGGATGCTTGATTAATGAATTCCTTAATCTTTCATATTCTTTCTAAAATAACAATTTCCAGGTTTTGGACATATCATACTTTAAGAAGAAAGATTTCATTATTTTGACATATGCATCTTTTTTGTCGATTATGATTAATGATATCTTCGAGTTTTTTTAACATACAGTGCTATGAAACTGATGTTGAGCCTCTTGCACTTTCAATGCAATTCAATATTTTTGGAAGAAGGCATCAAGCTCTAATCCATTCAAAAAAGGAGAGCAATATTCAATCATAGGTTTTTCGTTAAGAATTTTCTTAGCTATTTGGATGCATCTAGTCTGAAATTTATGATTTTTCTTAGATTCTGATTCTTTTTTAAGCTTATTGAAATGTTGCTCTAACTTCTCTAAGCTTAGCAGTCTCAGCTTCATATTTGGTTTTCTCTTTCACATCCTGTCTTAGAAGTTTAGCAACTCTAGTCTTAAGCTCAACTTTCTCAACCCCAAGTTTATCATTCTCAATCTTAATCTTAGCAAATCTCTTCCTAAGTTCATCAATCTCAACTATATGTTTAGCATTTAATTCTTTTAATAAATTAGTGAATTGCATATTTGATAATATTTTGTATACAAAAGGAATAATTTAAAAGTTCAAATCAGTATAGTAGTAAATAAAAAAATTTTCATATATGAAAGGCAATTATTCATACTGATCAAGTAAATTAGTTGTATGCATTTTATATGGTTAGAAGATTTTTCAATCAAAAAAAATAGAGAGACAGACGTTGTGTATAGATCAGCAAATTCTTCTAAAATAATAATCACTGCTTTGATTAAAAAGTTTAGAAATAAAATTATTTGTAGTATCAATTGTGCTCATAAACATAAAAAAAGACGCATTATTATTATAGACATCTTCATCATATAATTCAATTTTGAAGTCAGAACTAGAAGATTCTAAATCAGAGCAGTAGTAATCTTCATCAAAATTTTCTATATGAATATTTGGATTTAGTGAAATAAAATGATTTATGGCTTTTTTGCTAATATTTTTACACTATTTCAACTCTAGAAATTTTAAATTGAAAGATGAATGAGCAATTTCTCTGATAGTCATACTGGTAATATTATAGTATCTGAGTTTGAGATGTTGAAATCTTGGGTAAGAATATATAATATTATAAATTAATAATCTGCTGATAAATAAACAACCACTTAGCTTGAGATGTTCTAATTTATGATATGTATGAGCTATTGCTTCAGTAATCCTATCGCTAATATCATTATGACTGATCTCTAAATATCTTAAATTCAGAGATCATTTGATAATAGTTATAATTAATACATCATTTCACAAAGCCATAGTACCATTAAAGTCAAGATACTATATATTGAAGTATCTTTGCATTAAAGTACTAGCATCTTTAATGTCTTCATAACTAAACGTAATATCAAGTTTTCGTAAATTTGGATATGAGTTTATAATGCAACTTATAGATTTATCAGTGATCTAATGTGCTTTAGCAAATAAAACTCTTATAAATCATGACAATTTTCTGCAATTTCAAACAAAGATTTATCACTAATATTTTTGCAATAAAAAATATTTAGATATTCTAATTTATAACATGATTGTACAATTACGTATAAACCTTTATCAGTTATTTAAGCATTTCACAAATTAATATATCTTAAATTAAGATATGATTCTGCTATTATAAATAATAATTTATTACTAAAACCTATACTTTTTTTGAAATCTAAATGAATTATATTTGGAAATATATTCACAATACTTTTTATTTTTTTATCTAAACGTGAATAATAAAAAGTAATTTCTAAATGAGTTGTATTCGAGATATAAGCTGGCTTATGCTTTTCACACATTATTTCTACAAATTTTTCCCATCAAGTATGATCTCTCTCATGATAAATATATTTATCTTGGAAATAGTACTTATATCTCAAGTTATTTTTCTTTAGCTCAATATTTTTTCCATAAGCTAAAAATAGCACATTTATATCATATCTGACAAATAAATAGAGTGGAATAGAGGGATTTATCTATTGTTAAGAAATATAAAATCTGTTCTAATAATTCTACTATATTAAAAATACTTGTATATATCATAAATAATATATAATGTATTTTTAAACAAAAAATAAAATTATGTGATCATATTTTCAGACCAAGCCTTTTTATTATCTCATCTAATACAAGTACTTATAATTCATTTATAAGAACTTTAATCTTATTCTCAGGTAATAATCCTTTGAGAAATAGTCATTTAAAATGTTCTTCAAGATATTTTTTACTTAAATTACACTCTTTTAATTTTGAATAAAATTCCTTTACCATATAATTGCCTTGAACTATCATCCTAAATAAAAATTCTATTCTTTTAGACAATTCAAGATTTGTCCCACTTTTCTATATATCATTTATATTATGACAATTCTCTAAATCCTATATTAGAAGATACTTTAGAATGAATGGTAATAGTTCAGGCGTAAGCTGATCAAGTAAATTAGCTATATATTTTTTATATAGTTAGAATATTTTTCTATCAAAAAATATACAAGTATTTATAACTAATTTATCACTTTAAACTACTAATCACTTAACTTTCTTTGGTCATACCTTCCTTTGTTACTTATGAAAGACAGTCTTTTTTCTCTTATCTCAATTATTTAAATTGAATCAGATTATTTGGAAGATTTGGAAGACTTAGACAAATAGGAGAAAACTAGGATTCCTTAAAATTGAACTGAATCAAATATTTAAGCAATTTAAATTTGATTTGATTTTTTAAATCAAATCAAATCAAATTAAATTAAACTTAAATATTTGATCGAATCAATTTAAATCAATTTGAATTTGATCAAATCAAATCAAATCAAATATAATTTTTTTTTTTAATTTTTACAATGATATATTAAAATAAAGTTATTCTAAAGTTTTAATTAAAAAAATTATTAGTAATTGCACTAAAAAATTTCAAAGATAGCTTTTAC